CTTGATTCTTCATCAAATATGGAATACTCATCGTGCTTGTTTCATAATATGTTTCTGTTAGCGGAAACTACTTGCTTAAGGTAAGATTACATCCAACAACTCTCAACCAATCAAGGAACAAACATACATACTTAAACCGATCCATCGGCTAGCATATTGATTTTTGAAAATCCAAATGAAGTAGAATTGCTCATAAATCACATAGAGAAAGATAGAGGGGACAGAGGGAGACGTACCAATTGAAGTGGTGGAGCGACAGGGTCGGAAGGAGTATGTAATGCGTCGCAGTCGCCAAGAAGTCCTTTGATGTTGAATCGCCTTGGTGATTTAGGTCTAGTAGGGCAAAGTCAAGGAAAACTAGAAAGCTACAACAAAAATTGTTGATATCTTGGTGATTTAGGTCTAGTCTAGGGTAAAGTCAAGGAAACTATGAAAGATACAAAGAGGGTGTTTGGCATTTCATTTAAGGAAAAATGTTATTTTAGGCCTACAAATTTTTACGATTTATTTTAAAATTCCTATATTTTTTTGTAGTATAGGGGCATAAAGTCTATTTTTTTCATGTTAAAAATATCATTGCCATCAATTTGAAGGGTCATGCGGTTAACCCTATCTAGTCAGCTAGTTTGAATGATATGTCAATATTCACAAAGTTTTTTATCAGATTATTATTATTATTATTATTATTATTATTATTATTATTATTATTATTATTATCCTTATTTATTATTTATTATATTATAATCTTGCAAAAAACATGAAAAAGTAGATGACGAACATCTCATGTTCTTGGATTTGAACAACTAGACAACACCCATCAATCACATTTTCTTCTTCTTGGTTATTAACATCTCATCTTATTATCATTAAGAGCACCACCATCAACCATTACAAGCAAGTTTGAAGATGTAACAAATATTTCATTCCTAAATCTGAGTTTGAAAATGTTAAAATATTTCATTTCTATTTTCATTAATTGTTTCTTTAATTTCATTTTTATTTCTTCGATTTGAAACAATGAAGAAAATCAAAATGAACAATTAGGTTTTCCATCTTGTTTCTTCGATTTCGTTTCCCTTTGGGTTTAGAGTTATAACAAATCTGGGTTTGAAGATGGTTTCCAGATCTCATTTCTTCAGGCCACTAATGCTCTAATATTGTATTATGGGAAATGTGGCACTTCGATATTACCTTGTTAATGTGCATATGTCGAAACAAGCATATATAGGAGAGTATGAAACTATACTATAATATGCATAAAAAACTTTGGAATAAGGCCAAACATAAGATATCAGGCGGCTGTAGTTAAGTTGTATGCAAGATATGGATTGTTCAATGAAGCTATAAAAGTGCATAATATTAGAAAATATCTTATATATAAAATGAAATAAATAATAAAAATCAATGAGAAATACCTTACAACAGTATATATTCAATTTTCCAAGTGCAATGCTCTTTTGTACTTAGTTCACCCCTCGAACGAGCTGCAAAATTTAAGGTTTCAACATAACATTATTTAATTAATGCAAACAATTTCATCTATAATGGAAATACCAATGGAAAGAAGTCTATTTTATATCTGAAAATTATTTAAATCAAAACTTCAAAATACTTATCACTACAGACTTAATAACAATGCTCAATCCCAAGGCCTCAAACCGTTCAACAATCTGAATTACAAATTTTGTAGAAAAAGAAACCAAAACCAAGGAAGAAATACTTAGAAGAAAATCAATAGATTTTCTAAACTCATTAATTAGATAAAAAAGCATCAAATCTTGTATAAAATGTTGAAATTATTTTGGGACACAGGGTAGAAGGAAAGAAGTGAGAGTAGTTGCAGACCTTATGTCCACCCTTCTATCAAGGAAACAATTGATCTTTGTAAAAAGGCACACACTGAGAGCATCTGAATTGCAAAATAATGTTGCATCAAGGGTTTCATCCAGAAGGATTCTCCAAAAAACAATAAAAACATGTAAACTAGTAAGAAAATATGAAGAAAATCCAAGTAACAAACTTATTATGACCCTTTACCTGATCTATTATTGCCAATGTATAATTTAAGTTCTTGTTCAACTGTATGGAATTTCTGCAAATCACAACCTTCACATAATACATAAATGAAATCTGTAACATCATAATAATTTTTGCAAATTCCATTAATGAACATGCCCGCTTTCTCCAACAAATGATCTATTTGCTTCCTACATCAAACAACAACACCATTATCTAAAATCAAAAGTTCCAGGGTTAGGGTTTCCTAGGATGAGGCCATGAGTGATAGAGCACGAAGTCAATCGATCAACTATAGAAAATCGAGATGATACATTACCTTTGTTCTTAAAGTATGTTGTTGAAGCTGCTTTCTTTCCAATCGATAGTTTTGAGGATTTGTTCTACAATCTTGACAAACGATACAGAACGTCTGTTAAAAACTTATGGGGAAAAAGTTTTGAGGATTTCCTGTAAGCTTAAATACCTGCTGAAGCTGGAGCATTCATTTGGAGACCCCTATTTGTCATTTCATCCCCTTCTACTCTATAATTCTTAGCATTTAGAAAATTCTTGAAGGATAAATCCTAATTATCTTCCTTAACTGAATGCTCCACTGAATAGTACCAAATTGGAAGAATGAACCGACCAAATAGACAAAAGAAAGGCATAATGTGTAGATAGTGTAGGTCATCATGTGTTTCTTAGGGTTATCTGAGTTGCGGTTCTTCAACTCTGATGGTTAAACCCTTTTTCACTTTTCACGGAGGAGATGGTCGATTTGTACAGGAGTGTGAGGTTGAAGAAGAAATAACTTGTTTTTTTTTACCAAAATATTTGTGATTTGAATAAGTATTTACAAATTACTTCTATTTTAAAACTAACTGTGATTTATATAGGTTAATTTAAAAAGAATAAAAAAATATAAATATCAAAATATTTGAGAATTTTAAATTTATAAGAAAATAAGAAAAATAATGATTTATTATAATGTAAATGTTTTTATCTTTTAAATTTAAATAAATAATTTAAATAAAGAAAAGAAACAATAAGTTTTAATTTTAAGAATTTAGAAATTAGATAGAATAAATCCATTTATTACTATATTTATTGTAATTATTATATTAAAATATTATATAAAATTTAATAAAATAAAAAAACTCATTATATGAATAAATAAATCAAAATAACTATGAGAAATTGAACAAGAGAAATTAAAAATAAGCCTCCCTTTTTTCCTCCTGGCTTCTTCCCCACTAATCAAAAACATACAGGACGCCTAGTCCGCGCTCACCGTTGTCATCATAGTTGCCCATCCCATCAATCTCCCCTTGCCGTCTACCATCCTCCTTTCGCCAGAGTACCCCCGTTACCCCATACAACCTGCCAATTCAATTTCTACTCCGTCCTTTGCAGAAAATACTCATTTTTTTTTTATGTAACTAGCTAGAATGTTCTGCATGATGTCATCTGAAAAGGTCTTTTGATCCTGTACGTAAAATAACTTCTCTCTTTGGCCAAGTACTTTGAAGATTAGTTTAATACTTGCAAGTCCACCAACTACCTAAAAATCCCAGAGATTAACTCTATACAATCCGTGATTCCATATGAGATGCTCTTGGCGATTGATTATGCCTTTGTTCGGCAACTTCCATTTCCTAGAATTCAACCAGAAAAAAGCATGTTGCATCCTTGTTGGTGGAAAAAAAAGTCAGAAAACAAAGGTTGTGTCGCCGGTAAAATTGGATGGGAAGAGGACGAACTGATGAAGAAGTTGGTGATATGGTAACAATCAATTAGCCATCAAATGCTCATCGTTGAAGCCTCAATTTGATTACCTCGTAAGCGAATGCAAAAGCGTTAAGCAATTCAAACAAATACATGCTCAAATCATCGTTTTATTCCTTATGAAACCTCACTTCCAGAATTGTGTAGGTTGGCGTCTTTTTGTGCAATTTCACCTCATGGAAACCTATCTTATACTAAAACCATATTTGATAAGCAACCAAACCTACTGTGCAACTCTATAATACCCTCATTAGAGGGTTTTCGGCACCCCTAACCAGCCTCAAGAATCCATCTTCTTGTTTCGTCAAATAATGGTGTAGGACCTAATAATATGACGTTCCCGTTTGTAATAAAGGCATGCACGTTGTCTTCAAGCATTGAATATGGGATTTTGGTTCATACCCATATTTTGAAATGTGGCTTTGAGCCTGACTTTTATGTACAAAGATCGTTGATTAAGTTTTATACAGATGCTAAACGTTTGCCTTCTGCAAAGAAGTTGTTTGATGCGCATCCAGAGAGAGATATTGTTTGTTGGAATTCAATGGTCAATGCATATGTAATATCCAGTCACATGGACCTTGCAAGGCAAGTGTTTGATCAAATGCCACACAGGGATGTGATTTCTTGGAACAGTATGCTCAATGGCTATGGACACCGATGTTGTTGGGCCATATCTCGGGCTGAGGTTCATATGGGCTATATTTGTGTGGGAGTTGCAAATGAGTATTCAATAACAAAAGCCTTTTGCATCTTTTTCCTTTCTTTGAACCGCATGCCACCCCAAAGTTAAAGCCTGTCATGATATAGTTTATAACATAAGTTGTTGTCTGCATCTTTTATTTTATGACACGTCATCTTTTCAATAGTCCATGTGTTGATCTTATCATAATGACCTTTAGTTGCCACACAGGTTGTTTATCATACAATGTACACGTTTTAAAGCCCAATTGCAATGAATATGATATTGACCCACTTAATCAACCTTCCCAATTTGTTGAAGTACCGCTTAAATAATATTTGTTGGGGCCACATCTAGTCTATTAGACCTTTGGATTTAAACTTATAACACCGTAAAATCGACACTTTTTGATCATATAACAACAGATACATCTTTTACTCATTAGAGAAAGTAGATCTACTACAAAAATTTTGAAACAACTATATATAAGACTTTACATGAAAAATGTACATCAAATTTAAGAACTAGTTAGTTTTCAACATCTATTACATAAGCATTCGTGGCCAATTGCATGATGGAGATATCTTAATGTTTTCTTATAATTTTCAAAGCCCAGAAACCAAAAGCTGAAATCATCAACAGTCACTACCTCCACATAGTTATACGATAGCCTCTTGGTGTTCATGCTTTCTCTTACTCCTTTTATCTTCCCTAAAGGGATTGACACCTTATATTGGAACTTTAACAGCTCGCCTGTGGGAGAATAAGTTTTAAGGGACCTATCACTGCAAAATGCAACCCTTTCTGTAGACACATAAAGTATGCCTGCAATTGCACCTGCTGTAGTGTACAAGAAGCATTGGGAAGCCTGTAACAGTTTCTCTTCCTCTCTGATACCAAAGGTTTTCCTAAAGATTTTACCTGGAGTGCTACCTAGTTGAATCATTTGGGCACCATGACTCAACTTCTGTTTCATGATTTCAATTAACTTGGGACTTGAACTTGCTGAATATTAACAAAAGATGAACAGTATAAGATTGACTGAAAGAAGTATAGAGAACATTTAATTATGCATGGTTGGAGAATTAATACAAGACAATTAAATAAAGTGGTGGTTAATTACCTTCTCTTTCAGCGCCATTGGTCTTGGAAGAAGTGGAAGAAATTGAGTGACAGGGTTCATAAGGTTTAGATAATAGCAATCCCTTGTTAGTTGATTTGATCTCAACTCGAGTATCATGTTTTGATGATGATCTGTGATCCATAGTTGATGTATGTTTGTTGTGATTCGGTTGCCTCGAAGGTGTATTGTTTTGATTGTTGCTAGTACTTCTGAAGCTTAATGTGGGTAATGTGTTTTGATTTTTGAAGGACATTTATAGGCATCTAAAAATGGAAGAATAGCTATTACAACTTTTAGTTGGTCATCCTTATTTGGTGGTTAATTGGTCGTTGAGTCTTTTTCTGGACCACTACTTTCCTCTTATTGTGCATATCTACTTTTTGCTGTCGGCATGCACATGTTGAGTCGGGTTTCTCTATTTTCAAAGTTACGTATGGTTTGATCATGCAAAAAAGTTTATTGGTGTTTATTTTGCTTAATCAGAATGAGGTGTAAAGCAGGGGCGATGAGACTAATTTTAGGATCTTATCTTCTTCATATCCATGTCATGGCCCATAGGGAATGGGAGGAGAGTGGTGGGTGGGAAGTGGGACCAACATAATATAGATTATGATAAATAAATAAATAATCGACATGACATGGTATTTGCTTTTTCTAGGTTTCTTTTACTTTTTCTTTTTATATCCGCCCCTTCAATAAGGTTAATTTACACATTTACTTTTATTGTCAACTTGACTATTCTGTCACATATGACACACATAATTATAATATACAATCTACATGGCAACTGATCATCACATGCAACTTACATAACATGACCCTGCTAAGCAAGCGGAAATGTAAATGTCTTTTGTCGATATGCATGGGCTTATAAATAAATAAATATATTTTATTCAATGAAACTGAGGTGTAACTCGGTGGGAATATTTAGCTTTGTTATCTTATAAATAAATGCTAGTTCATGGTTATTGACGTAAGACTTTTTGGTTATTTTCTTCATTTGAAGCATCCAAATGCACCATGCATGCATGCCAAGTCATGAATACACAAAAGACATGCATGACACATATGATGCTTCAATCATCTAACGCAATTTATGTCCCAAAATAGAACATGTTGTGCCGGATAGTGTATATATAAGTGGATAACTGTGTTTGTAGACTAATTATAATAATAGGAATTTTTTTTTCTTATTGTAAATATGTGTTGTTAATTAGAAAACCTTTGTAAAAATGGGTTGTTTTGAAGATGCCTCCAAAAAAAAAAATTATGAGTTCCTATTCAATATTGTTTTATTTTTTTATATATAAACCCCTTCAACGTTATTTTTATTTTACATTTTTTTATATTAAAAAACTTACTATTTGTTTTAAAAAGTTTCATAATTGATCCTTATAATATTCTATGTTGCTTTTCTCCTACCATGACATGTTTTCCAATAAAAACATTAACATTCAAGCTATTTTAAATATTTGTTTGTATGTTTTTTACTGGTTAAGCAATATATCTTTTTGCATTGAGTGATGATATATGAAGCAATAATTGTGAAGTTTAAATTTATGTTATTATTGACTGTACAAGATCCGAAACAATTATATCCATCCATCCAATGAGTAATTTCCATATATGATCGATTTTTCTTTTTCATTCTCCGAATATATCATTAATCATTCACATAGAGATGTATATGGGACAATATTAGAACTTTCCCCTTCACCTACTAGATAGCCCTACACTCAATGGCAGAGGAAGCATGTTAGGACTACTAAAAAAACCTTTAAAAATGCTTGTTTTACTAAGCCCTCCATCCCCCCTCTTCGGCACCCATTCTTGCAGAAAAAGCCTCACTTTAACATTTATTTGCTACAGAAACCAATAAATCACCAAAAAAAAAATTAAAGTTTTATTAATTTATATGTTTTTTTTATGTATAACGGACCTCTTTTAACTTCCATCTTGGATCTGCCATTGCCACTGTCTATACTTTGCTATCCAAAAGTTACTTTTACTTTCCCAAACCCTAAACTCCTTGTTTTGAACGATTGACCAAAGTGTTACTACCTTGTTTTACATGTCTTACTCTCAAATTGCATTATCTTATTTTGTTTCAGATACATTCCAAAAATCTATATGAATTATGCCAAAAAATCTGCTATGTCATCATCTCATATGTCTTAAATATCATTCATAAAGTTCACAATCAGAGTTTCACTCACATTGTTAAGATCATCTCTGACATACGTACTTAATGACTCTAAGAGTGTTTCTTTTTAACTTAAGGAACTTAATATTAACAACATTTAAAATATTCAGATATATTTTGATGTTTCTTTTTTACTTAACTGTTAGATGAAGACTTCACTGGAAAAGTGGAGAGGAATGGATTCACACGTGCCTTTTTCCACAATTGCCCATGTATTTTTCTAAAATCAATCAAGTTTTCTAGATAATCCGATATTCTCTCTCCCTTTTATTTATCATACACCTAATGAAATCCCTAATATCACTCCAACTTTCATTCATCGTCTTCCTTCTTCTATACTTCACAAACAAGAAGAAGATCTACAAAAATAGTATTCATAGGCCACATTATTTGTTCTTTGACTATTTTTTTTTCTTCAATTTCAACACAAACTTTATGCATGGAAATGCAACTGCAAAATAAATAATGAAGATAAAATATGTAAATTATTATGCTACATATAATGTTTCACATGAGATATTTGAAATTAAGAAAAATTGAAGTACTTTATGATGACATTTGAAATATGAATGAGGAATATAGAGAAACTAGGATTGAAATTTCAATGTGTTATTTGTTTATGAAAGAAGGATGATGAAAATTGAAATCAGTAAAGTGAATTTAACGACTATTCAATGACTACATCTACTTTTATCTATTTTTATAGATGAAAATGACTATTCAATTGTTCTTAAAGATGAAAGTGACTATTCAATATATAATGCCAAAATTAAACAATTTTTTTTCCAGGTAAACATTAAAATTGATACATCTACTTTTACATATGATCAAAATGACTCAATTGCTTCTATCTTTTTTCTACAAACGTATTTGACATTAAAATGATATATTAATTATTATAGTTTTTTTTTTTTTTTTTTTTTAAATATATTTGATATTAGTATTGATTTGAATGTGTTTATGAGATTTTGTAATGGTATAAGTTGTTTAAAGTGGACTTTGAATTTAAACTTAGGGAAAATGACTTAAAAACCCAACAAAGTTTCCAAACCGTTTAAAAAACCCCAATCATATTTTGTCTGTTAAAAACACCCAACAAACTTAACATTTTATCTAAAAAGCCCAATTAAGTTACACTTTTTCGAAAGTCAAATAAGAGAAACAGATGACGTGGCTTATTACCGTATCGGAAAAATGACTTGTTAGACCAACGAAGTTTTCAAAATGTTTAAAAAACTCCAATCATGTTTTGACTGTTCAAAAAAAACCCAACGAACTTAAACAAAACAAAATTGGAATTTTCTGAACGGTTTGAAACTTTGTTGGATTTTTTAGACAAAATGTTAAGTTCGTTGGGTTTTTTTGAATAGACAAAACATGATTGGGGTTTTTTGAATGGTTTGGAAACTTCGTTGGGCTTTTAAATCATTTTCCCTTTAAACTTATAACACCCAGAAATTGACATTAAAAAGTATGATATGAGAGCATATAACAACCTATACATCTAGAGAATTAGTAGTTCTACTACAAAATTTTAGAAATAACTATAAGATTGACTTTACATGAAAATGTACATCAAATTTAAGGACTAGTTTTCACATTTCAACATCTATTACATAAGCATTCGTGGCCAATTGCATGATGGAGATATCTTAATGTTCTCTTATAATTTTCAAAACCCAGAAACCAAAAGCTGAAATCATCAACAGTCACTACCTCCACGTAGTTATATGATAGCCTCTTCATGTTCACGCTTTCTCTTACTCCTTTTATCTTTCCTAACGGGATTGACACCTTATATTGGAACTTTAGCAGCTCGCCTGTGGGAGAATAAGTTTTAAGGGACCTATCACTACAAAATGCAATCCTTTCTGTAGACACAAAGAGGATGCCTGCAATTGCACCTGCTGTAGTGTACAAGAAGCATTGGGAAGCCTGTAACAGCTTCTCTTCCTCTCTGATACCGAAGGTTTTCCTAAAGATTTTACCTGGAGTACTTCCAAGTTGAATCATTTGGGCACCATGACTCAACTTCTGTTTCATGATTTCAATTAACTTGGGACTTGAACTTGCTGCATATTAACAAAAGATGACCAGTATAAGATTGACTGAATGAAAGAAGTATAAAGAACATTTAATTATGGTTGGAAAATTAATAAAAGACAATTAAATAAAGTGGTTTGTTAATTATCTAGGTGTAAAACTACCTTCTCTTTCAGTGCCATTGGTCTTGGAAGAAGTGGAAGAAATTGAGTGACAGGGTTCATAAGGTTTGGATAATAGTAATCCCTTATTGGTTGATTTGATCGCAACTCCAGTATCATGTTTTGATGATGATCTTTGATCCATAGTTGATGTGTGTTTGTTGTGATTTGAAGGTATATAGTTTTGATTGTTGCTAGCTACTTCTGAAGCTAAATGTCGGTACTGTGTTTTGATTTTTGAAGGAGGACATTTATTTATAGGCATGTAAAAACGGAAGAATACCTATTACAACTTTTAGTTGGTTATCCTTATTTTGTGGTTAATTAATTGGTCGTTGAGTCTTTTCTGGACCACTACTTTCCTCTTGTTGTGCATATCTACTTTTTGCTGTCGACATGCACATGCTGAGTCGGGTTTCTCTAATTTCAAAGTTACGTATGGTTTGATCATGCACAAAAGTTTCTTGGTGTTTATTTTGCTTAATCAGAATGAGGTGTAAAGCAACCCACTATGAGACTAATTTTAGGATCTTATCTTCTCCATATCTATGTCATTCCCCATGCATGCATGTATATGGGGAATGGAAGGAGAGTGGTTGGTGGGAAGTGGGAACCAACATAATATTGATTATGATAAATAAATAAATAATCGACACGACATATGGCAACACAGGTCACATGAGATTGAAGGTTGGTATTAGCTTTTTCTAGGTTTCGTCTACTTTTTCTTTTATATCCGCCCCTTCAATAAGGTTAATTTACACATTCGCTTTTTATTGTCAACTTCACTATTCTGTCACATATATATGACACACATAATTATAATATATAACTGACTTGGCAACTGATCATCACATGCAACTTACATAACGTATTAACATGACAATGCAAAG